TTACAAGGTCATGGAATTTTCTGTCATTGGTAAAAAGTGCCAAAGGCCTGAAATGATCTTTAGCATTCCTCAATGGAGCATTCATCCTGTCCTGGGAAAGTTCCTGGAAGCATGACATTTTCAAAGTCAAGAATCCCTCATCCCTCATCATGTAGCTGCAAGTCAACACCAACATGCTGCATCAGATGTGTTTCTTTCAAATCTTACGTAACAGGAAATGCTGACTCACATAAATAAGCTTCAAAACTGAGGCCCCAAAAGTCTAAAACCACCAGTGAAAATGCTAATTCAATAAGCCGCATTCATTACAAATTATATTATCAGCATAAAAAATAGGCAACAATATTTCAGTAACATTACATTAATGGCTACATTAAAATAATTTTCACAATTTCTAAGAATGAGGTGTGAGACATTTTGCTGTAATGAAGCCAGTGCTGAAGCTGTCACAGACATTTTATTCAAAACCGATGATCCATGTTATCCATCATGATTTCAGAATGATCACAGTGTGTCTTGTTCTTCAGCGGAAGAAATAATAATTGATCTTTTGCACTAGGAAATTGACATGCCTATGTCACACATTTACTTGTTTGATTAGTGACCAAGAAATACTGCTGATTTCTTACTAAATTTCTTTATTTTTGTAGCTTTTTGTGTTTTACAATATTTAATCCTAGAAAACATCTGGCCACTTTTACAGTTTTAAATGATTTTTATTCAATCTGATTTCAGACTTTTTTTTTTAAACCCCACTATTATTTTGTTGTTGTTTCAATGTCTAAGAGATTAAGGGTGGGGAAATGCATTGTCATCAGGATCTTGCAGTAGTTTTACGTACTGTACCCGTAGCTTTTAAAAACAGGGTGAGGTTTCATGTGAGTAATACCTGTTTTTACTGTCAGGACTTTTTGAAAAATAATTTTAGCCAATCCCCCATGTGAAGTTGATTTATAACCACTGGAGTTAAATTTTGATTAGCACAGATTATATCTGTCCCCAGTCCCATTCACTCGTGTGGTGATACACTTACAAGAAAAAGGACACGGTTTTATGAATTATTAAGGATTATAGTTCAAAAGACAAAATCATCTGTAAGGTATGCTATGTCTGTCTGTCTTATATATCTATCTGTCTATCAATCTGTCTCTATCTTTCATATTTTGTCTCTGTCTATCTTTTATCTGTCTTTTTTCTGTCTATCTGTCTGTTATATTTCTCATATTTCTATGTATCAATTGTCTGTCTGTCTATTGATCGGTCTGTCTCTGTCTGTCATCTTTCTGTCTGTCTCTGTTTCGATGTCTCTATCTTTCATCTTTTGTCTGTCTGTCTCTGTCTAAATCATCTTTCTGTCTGTCTGTCTATCGGTTATATCTATCTATCTATCTATCTATCTATCTATCTATCTATCTATCTATCTATCTATCTATCTATCTATCTATCTATCTATCTATCTATCTATCTATCTATCTATCTATCTATCTATCTATCTAATGACTTGTCTGATTGATAGATTGATAGAATCTGTCTCTGTAAATCATCTTTCTGTCTGTGAATCTAATTCTGTCTGCGTGTCGATCAATCTTCTGTGTCTGTCAATTTGTCATCAACTATATCTGTCTGTCTGTCATCTGTCTATCAATCTCTCGCAGTCTAGCACCTTTCTGTCTGTCTGTCTGCCTGTCTATCTATCTCTTTGTCTATCGATCGGTCTCTGTCTGTCTATCTATATCATCTATCTCAGTGAACTGTGAGTGTTTTTTTTCCAGATGTTGTTGGCTGCCTTCACTTCCATCTGTTTTAACTTTTGACTGTCTCGAAATGCATGTACTGTATGTAATATTGGATTATAATCTGGAAAATAAAATTTAGGGATTGTATCTTGTGTGACAATGGCTTGGATTTACAGGGTTCAAACAGATCACAATTTCGTCCCCTTGGAATTGTAAGGTTCTATCTGACATTTTTGTCAAAATTGAGTTATTCACATATTCTTAATCTGTGACAATTTATTTACATTATGTGATGTGTTTTGTACATTTAGGGTCCCTGTTATTTTTATGTTTGAAAGAAACTTGTTCCCCATACACATTTTTCTATATGGAATGCAAAAACTTTGAAGCTCAATATCTCAAAACTGTTCAGAACGCAGATAGAACCTTATAATTCCAAGGGGACGATTTGTAGAGTGTCATGACATTGTAGAATGCTGAGCATTATTATTAAACTTATAGGACAGCTGTAAACATTGGTGATGATAGTGATGTGTTACTGTAAAGGGTTTATTCAACAGGTGTTATCCATTTCTCCTAAAAATGACCTGAGGTTTACACCCGTGCTTCACTGTCAGAAAAAAAGGTACAAAAGCTGTCACTGGGGCGGTACCTTTTCAAAAAGGTACACTTTTGTACCTAAAGGGTGCACACTGGTACCATAATTGTACAAATATGTACCATGAAGGTACCAATATGCACCCTTTAGGTACAAAAGTGTACCTTTTGAAAAGGTACCGCCCCAGTGACAGCTTTTGTACCTTTTTTTCTGAGAGTGTTCTATTCATAAACAGCACATGTTGAAAAAGTGATCTTGTATTCTTTTCAGAGGAGAAATTTTCTCTATGATCACAAAAATTGCATGTCATATACTGCTGCATATATTTGAAACTCGTGAAAGTACAGTTCGCTAATCATCTGAGAATGACGAAGTCAATTACATTGAAGTGGAGCTTATAAGCACATGTCAGTCTACAAATGAAATTGTGTGTAATGAGTGATGATCTCAGAAATTTCATCAAGCATATCTCAGAGGTCCTTTATTCACATTCTGTATCCATTCAGGAAAATGGTTAAGAAGTCTCTTGTTGCTGGGCTGATGGTCTTGCTTGTGGCTGCAGTTGGTTTTTTCATTGGTGTGTATTTGGGGATCAGAAACAGGAAACTCGCTGTATCCTCGGACCACTTCTACTCAAAAGCAGCAGTGGCAGCAGATGCCGGGACGTGCTCTGAGGTTGGGAGGTAAGAGTCCAAAGATCCAGAGTTTCCTTCCTTGCATGCCATTGAACATCACTTAACACACCCAGCTTTCTTTATGTTTGCAGGGACATCTTAAAGCGCAATGGTTCAGCAGTTGATGCTTCCATTGCTACTCTATTGTGTGTGGGGCTGTTTAATGCACACAGCATGGGCATCGGAGGAGGGCTGTTCTTCACCATATACAATGCAGCAACAGGTAAAACACTGATATTTATGCATTCAGCTGATGCTTTCCTAGGGATCTAATCCATGACCTTTGCGTTGCCTTTATTGAACACATTGAATTAAATGTAGAACATACTCCATATTATCTTTACAAAAATCATTTAAACTGCAGGGCTCCACAAAATGTACATCTCTTTCTAGTAAGCCTGGCACTAAAGGACATTGTTTTAGGAATTTAATATGACGCAGAGGTTATTTGCCATTCAGCAGATACTTGTCATGCAAAGTGACATACAGTACATTCATTGATATGACATACCCAATAGCGAGCTGGGGGCAAGTGCCTAGAAAAAGGGCACACGGTTTGACTCAGCATCATAGTGACCACAAATCTTACGTCACTCTTACTTGGTAGTAAATGTCAGCAAATGACGTGAAAACCACTACCTCGTTGAGTCTTGAGTATACTCGACGTGTCTGCACGAGCTCGAGTCTCCGCTGACTTGCGGGTGCATCGAGTATACACGAGTGTTTAGGTGAAGCTAACAAGAGTAAATAACAATTGATTGTGACTCACAAGCCTTAATGTTTTAGTCATTTATAGTCTTCATAAACAACACTCAAAATGACACAGTCTTGACAATGAAATAAATAAATTCCATGTTTTTGTCCACAGGAAAGGTGGAGACAATTGATGCCAGAGAAACTGCTCCAATGAACGCTTCAGAGAACATGTTTGGCAATAACACCCAGCTGTCACGGAAAGGTATCTTTACCATTAATATTACCATAACGTATCACCAAGTCCAGCCTCCATTCCGTATTATAATTGCGTTACTTAGTAACAGTTCAACAGTTCAACGGTTCAACACTCCCACTTAAACATAAATAAATAAAATAACTCTGGCATATTTTCCTGATTTTCTTCTGCAGGTTTGTCACATCACATGAATTTGGTGGACCAAAGTTTTTTAAATATTAGTGAAGCACTTTTTTTTATTCATATTAATTTATTATTTTTTTAAGACCTAGGCTTAATAATACAAGTGTATGCCAAACTACACTACGATCAAAAGGTTTTGGGTTGGAAAGATTTTTGGTAACACTTTATAATAACTGCACACTATTAATAATTTGTTGAGCATGAGTAAACAGTTAATTCATCATTTATAAAGCATTAATAAACATTAATAAGCTGTTTATAAATACAGCTATAAATGTTATATCGATAATGCGTTTAATTGTATTTTCATACTTTGTTAATGATCAATTAATAATTTCTAAATGATTGCAGTATTTACAAAACTTGTAAATGGTCAGTCATTAAAATCACTTAGAAAGTGTAAGTAAATGTAGTAAATATAGGGAGTTATAAAGCATTTAGTAGTGGTCAGTAAACTATTTTGTGAGCTCATCTAAAGTGAGAACTATTCATACCTTGTAAAACATTTATAAAGGAGATTTAAAGGTGCATCAATCTTCTAAACAGTAAAATGTAACAAACACAAAACAGTGATACAGAACATAGAAATATTTAACAGTATATTATATTGTTAATATACTGTATGATCATTATACTGAATAGTTCTCACTTTAGATGAGCTCACGAACATAGTTAACTGACCACTACTAAATGCTTTACAACTACCTGAATTACAGCATAAATACATGTTAATAAATTATTTATTAACACACTAAGTAAACCGTCACTATATGTCTGAAAAATAAGATGTATGAATGTACATTTAAATAGTTTATTCATCATTTACTTACACGCTCTAAGTAATGTAATGAACCACTGACAACTCTCAAATAACTGGTTTATAAAAAAAAAATGCTATTCTTCTTTTAGAAATGATAAACTGATCATTGATAAAGGATGAAAATACAATTATTAAACAAATTATAGATATGCTTTTAAATCGAGAAGAAAGCATTTATGAAGTGCTTATTAATGTCTATTAATACTTTATGAATGACCAATTAACTGTTTACTCATGCTTAACTATAAAGATTATTAGCATGTTATTATAAAGTGTTACCAGATTTGTTTAATGTTTTCGAAAGAAGCCTCATATCAAGGCTGTATTTATTTAATCAAACAGTAAAAACAGTAACACTGTGAAATGTGATTACAATTTTAAATCATTTTAATATTCTGATTTGGTGTTCAATAAATATTTCTTGTCATTATCAATGTTGATTATGTTGAATGTTTTTAATCTGATTAAAAAAATCATCAGAAACTGTAATAGGATTCTTTGAGGATATACGTAGGTCCAAAAAACAGCAGTTATTTGAAATATAAATCTTTTTGAAACATTTTGATCAATTTATTGAATCCTTTCTGAATGAAAGTCAAAATTTCTCTCAGAATTGTTTCTTTCACAATGCATTTAGTGGTTTAAAGTATTTTTGAATACATTTACAGATGTCATGTCATCATTGACCTTATTGGAGTTCTGGCCCTTGAATGATGAAAACACTGTACTGTGTCTTGTTTGAATGGCAGGAGGGTTATCCATCGCCATACCAGGAGAAATCCGTGGTTACGAGATGGCGCACAAAAGACATGGGAGACTGCCATGGAGGGAACTGTTTCAGCCCAGTATAGAATTGGCACGCAATGGTTTTCCAGTTGGCAGGCCCTTGGCCAATGCCATTGCAAAAAACAAAGAATCAATTCTGAGTGACGTGATGTTGTGGTAAGGATTTAGCTTTTGGACACTGTACAGAAACTGGGAAATCTGAAGAAAATCTACTTATCATAAATGAAAATGGCACATTGATTTTCTCAGTGTCAAGTAACAAGTGTAGCAAGGTATACGGTTGTGTACTGTTGTGTAATTTGAGATTGCATCAATAATTCTACTAATATTAAACGCATAACTAATCGAAATGGCCACACTCTATAAACACTGCCTCTACTAGTGGTTTTAATGAAATCATAATGATCTTTTCCTCTCTCTGTGTTCCAGTGAAGTGTTTTGTGACTCAAACAAAAACCTCCTGAGGGAAAGTGATATCATTAGATTTCTCAAACTCGCTGACACCTACGAGAGGATAGCGGAAGAAGGGCCCGATGTTTTTTACAACGGATCTATGGCCCAGAACATAGTAGATGATATCCAGGCTGCAGGTCACTTCATACTTTCTTTGTTTAGCACTATTTATCATGCCTTAAAGGTAATCTAACCTCATTTCTCAATCTGTCACTACAGGAGGGATTATAACACTTGAGGACCTAATGGAATATGAGCCAGTGTTAAATGAGACCCCGTTGAAGTTAACTGTGGGGGAGTACACCATTAATATTCCTGATGCTCCATCCAGTGGACCTGTCCTCGCCCTAATTCTTAACATAGTGGATGGTGAGTCTTTCTGCATGCTTGCATCCATGGATCGTTCTTTACAAAGTATTTAAGCCTTTAGAGATCGTGTTCAAACATTTGATAGAGATGACTGAGTTATGGATAACTATGAGAGAACATGCTGTTCTTTGAACAGGACTTGAGTACCTGCATGATGATTTCACCACCACAGACATTAATTAACTCACTCAGAGACGCTATGTCAGAGTGCAGTCTTCATTGAGTCATCCCAGGATTACGCAAAAGAGCTTCATTCATGAGGGCGAGCAGCATCATGTTATTACGAAAGAACGTACTGTACATTTAGCTGATCATTATTGCGTTACAAGGCGAGCAGGATAAGATCTTGCGTCACCCTAGAGGGTCTGACATTTAAAGACCCAGGACCAGATATAATGAAAGAAGACCAGGAGTCAAGAGATGCAATAAATTAAAGAAAATCTGGTAACAGTATTTTCTTTATTTGGTAACTTATTCTCCTAACCCGACCAGGCGACCACGAACAGTATACTGACAGTCCACTACAGCCTACTAATACTCTAATGAGAGTAAGTTGACATGTAGTTGAAAAGTTACTTATAGTTAGTAGAATGTCTAAAGTGGACTATCGAAATAACAGCCCATGCTCACTCCCAAGGCGTCCTAACTGACGCCTTGGGAAGCATTTTGACCATGCTTCAATATCTGATGCTTTAGGCGCCCTTTAGCGTCAGTTAGGTGACGCCCTAGGATCGCGTGTAACCCTACCCCCACCCCAGACCTAAACCTAACCGCGTCCTCTAACTGACGCTTTCTTTTATAACTGACGCTAAAGGGAGCCTAAAGCGTCAAATATTGAAGCATGGTCAAAGGTGAGACTTCATGTCCAACTTGGGGTGAGAATGCGTTGGAAATAAAGTGTAACTGAAAATTTTACTGAAGAATAATTTGCTGTTTAATCAGCACAAGTCAGCTTCAACAAGTTCATAGGCCGCTCCGTCATTACAGCAACAGTTACACTCTCACACAGTCATTATGTCATCATGACAGGATGAATGGTTCTGATTGCTTAAGACACAGATACACTTTTTCCTTAAAAATGAAAAATGACCTTCTTCAAGGTTGAAGTTGGTTGAGATTTTGCTCTGATCGGGAAACCTTTCCAGAATTTTCCAGTATTTGCATTTTCACTGAAATCTATGACAGAGATTCAAGATGCCAGTGCCAGTTTTGTTTACATGAAAAAATAGAAATGAATGGACTGATACACAGCATTGACATTGATAATGGAGAATATAAGAAAATATCTGACTGCAGAATTCCATATTCCAGAGAGTATTCCAGACTCCAGAGAGCCATGTAACTATGACACAGGATGTAGTTTCTGCATTCCACTGTGCTGCTTTTCCATTTTTTATCTATGTAAACAGTACATTCTTATCCCAAGGCGTCATGTAGGACAAAAGCCAAAGTGTTTGGCCTCCAACGCACATGGTACCCTTTAGCGTCAATATGAGAGGCAGATATTAATGGGGCAGAAGGCGCCTCCTAGTGGTCTAACGCTAACCCTACCCCAGACCTAAACCTACCCATACTATGTGCATGTTATAGTGACGCTAAAGGGTGCCATGTGCGTTGGATGTCTAAGCTTTATATATATATATGACGCCTTGATGTAAACATATATTTTTCTATGTATCAACCTCTTTTACCATAAACGCTATTTTTAGAATTACAGTGGAATTGTCCCTAAGATTTACTGAATTGTGTAAGCAAAGTAAATGTTTGTGTTTTGATCTTATGGAAATGTATTACAGTAATTATTGACATCGAGCATTCAACTCTCGTTTTCAAGGTTACAACTTCTCAAACAGCAGTGTGTCTACAGCAGAGAAGAAGACTTTGACATATCACCGCATCGTAGAGGCATTTCGTTTTGCTTATGCAAAGAGGAGTAAATTGGGAGACCCGCGTTACCTCAACATTACTGACGTGAGTTCAAATATTTTGTACATGTTTCCTTTTTTTTGTGCCTTACACGAGGAGTTATGGGAATTAAAGCAACCCGATCTCATGCAATTTTACTCAAGATTTGTGAAGTGGTTTAAAGAGTGCTTTTATTGTCTGACTATATTTTCCCAAGGTCTCTAACTGTTCCGATTTCATGCACCTACGAGTTCAATTGCCTCTTGTAAATCTCTTTTCAATTATCTCCTTTCCCAGCTCATCCAAAACATGACCTCGGACTACTTTGCAGACAACATCAGGAGTAAAATCACAGATGACACCACTCACCCAGACATCTACTACGATCCCGAGTACTTTGTACCCGATGACCACGGCACGGCTCACCTGTCAGTCATCGCAGAGGATGGGAGCGCGGTGGCGGCCACCAGCACCATCAACCTTTAGTAAGAGGAAAAAAAGTGCACTAGACCTATGTTTCTCACTTTATTTATGTTTAAAAACAGTGTTTGTCTAACAATAGTTATATAGTCTGCTCTCATATGTCAGTCTGGATCCCTGAGAAAGAAAAATATGATTGTTTTTGGTGTCAAAAAACATTGGAAATGCTGTATTTGTGTTCTCTTCATTTTGATCTGATTATCTTGATCTTTCTTGTTTTCTCACAGTTTTGGCTCTAAGGTGATGTCACGCTCAACTGGGATTATCTTTAATGATGAGATGGATGATTTCAGCTCTCCTTACATTACTAATGGCTTTGGGGTTCCGCCTTCACCCAACAACTTCATTCAGCCAGGTGTTGTGGGTTTTACAGCCTAAAATAAATGACAAATATTGCCTCTTTTTATTTCTATAGACACACTGGTCAAATTCAAGTGAAGACATGTGCATACTACTTTTTTCTTTTGAAAAGGTAAAAGACCACTTTCATCGATGTGTCCCACGATAATATTTGACAAAGACAACAGAGTCAAAATGGTGGTTGGGGCCTCAGGTGGGACGAAAATCACTACAGCAACTGCTCTGGTAACCACAAATATCAAATTCTGTTTAACATCTGTAAACACTCACCTAAAGGATTATTAGGAACACCATACTAATACTGTGTTTGACCCCCTTTCGCCTTCAGAACTGCCTTAATTTTATGTGGCATTGATTCAACAAGGTGCTGAAAGCATTCTTTGGAAATGTTGGCACATATTGATAGGATAGCATCTTGCAGTTGATGGAGATTTGTGGGATGCACATCCAGGGCACAAAGCTCCCGTTCCACCACATCCCAAAGATGCTCTATTTGCTCGGTGGTGACTTTGGGGGCCATTTTAGTACAGTGAACTCATTGTCATGTTCAAGAAACCAATATAAAATGATTCGAGCTTTGTGACATGGTGCATTATCCTGCTGGAAGTAGTCATCAGAGGATGGGTACATGGTGGCCATAAAGGGATGGACATGGTCAGAAACAATGCTCAGGTAGGCCGTGGCATTTAAAGGATGCCCAATTGGCACTAAGGGGCCTAAAGTGTGACAAGAAAACATCCGCCACACCATCACACCACCACCACCAGCCTGCACAGTGGTAACAAGGCATGATGGATCCATGTTCTCATTCTGTTTACGCCAAATTCTGACTCTACCATCTGAATGTCTCAACAGAAATCGAGACTCATCAGACCAGGCAACATGTTTGTACAATTGTCCAATTTTGGTGAGCTCTAGCAAAGTAGAGCCTCTTTTTCCTATTTGTAGTGGAAATGAGTGGTATCCGGTGGGGTCTTCTGCTGTTGTAGCCCATCCGCCTCAAGGTTGTGCGTATTGTGGCTTCACAAATGCTTTGCTGCATACCTCGGTTGTAGCGAGTGGTTATTTCAGTCAAAGTTGGTCTTCTATCAGCTTGAATCAGTCGGCCCATTCAACTGCCAAGTGATTGGTTGATTAGATTAGCCTAGAAATCTAGACGCAGCCTAGTGGCAGCAAAAATTATTTTGCAGCAAAGTGTGGTCTAGCAACTCTCCGTTGGCTTTTGAAGTAGAAAAACCAAACTCTGGTCAGGCCAATCACATCATGTATAGAGTTGGTGGGCGGGCTTAACACAATGACGGCAGAGTTGTGGCGGTTCTGCGCCGTGATTTCCATAGGTGATTTCCCTGATACTTGAAAACAAGGTGCAGCTGGCGAACAGCGGTCTTTGGCCGCGACTTGGAGTTAAGAGAATGTCACTTAAGTCATACTTAAAAAAGGAAGATGTGTTCAGAGTTTTGACGATATGGCAAAAGTTTAATATATCAACTTGCTCCGCTGGAGGGAAAACCATGGGGAAAACGTATGGGACCCACTCAGCCACAGCCATTCATTGCTCTGGTTGGTTCATTGCGCTGTCCTATGGCGTGCAGAGGGATATTGAAAGACAACCTTTTATCCCGGCCCTCAGATTGAGGTATGCCAATTGTGAGTTCCCAGACCTAACATCTTGATAGTTCTGGCTTGCCAGGCTATGATTAGATTGCATATGAGAAATTGAACAGGTGTTCCTAATAATCCTTTAGGTGAGTGTATATATTGGATGCATGTGCCAAACATGCAGTAGTGTTTCCGAATCATGGCTTTGAACGTCTCCCTTCACTTTTTCTCTTATAACACTAATTTCACTTCTCCCAGGTGATCCTGAACTCATTATTCTTTCACTACGATCTTAAGAAAGCGGTTACAGAACCAAGAGTCCACAACCAACTCAATCCCAACATGACAGTTGTGGAACAGGACTTTGAGCAGGTGGGTTTCTCCACTTGACCACTCAACTTTCTTAATTTATGTCTGATAAAACAGTTTACTAACTCTGTAAGGCCTGTGTGACATGATTCTACAGAGTGTTCTTGATGGCTTGGCTCAGAAGAATCATGTAACGGAGCTGCTGAGGACCCCAGGAGCAGTAGTGCAGGCCATTGTGCGACAAGGGGACAAACTTTGCGCTGAATCTGATCCTAGGAAAGGCGGCTATCCTGCAGGATACTGAATGCCGTCGCCACTCCCTCTCACCCTTCTCACATTTTCTGGACTTTCGTTCATTGTTGACAAGATCAAGAACCAGGAAAAACTAATGTACACATTCAAAAACAATACACCTCTCAGTCCAACAATCAACATGGACTGTGGACTATCCATGGACTATGACTATTGCATAAATACTCCCTGTATTTATTAACTTTTCTTTTTGATGAGAAAATTTTAAATCGGTATCAATAGTGCCTTACTTTCATATTGAACGGTCTATGGTTTTACCAAGCTTATTTATTCCTTTTGTGTGTAGAGAAGAGTATTGATTATCAGTATGTGGGGGTCCTTTGGTACCTGATTCTATTGTACAGATTCTTTGTTGTGTGATTGAGCTTTTTTGGTTAAAGGATGTTTGACTCTTGGTCAAGTCAGGGAAATAAGAATGAAATTGAAATATTACAGGTATTTATTGTACATAATCCTGACTCAATGGGAATTAGATTCTTCCCAGCTAACAGGGAATGTTCTTAGAACTTTGGCTAACGTTCTGGCAAGGTTCTCCAGTGACGTTAATGCAATGTTCGTTCAAAGTTATCTGGTCTTTAATAATGTTCTCAAAACATTATCAGTAAATCATTGATCATGGAACTTTTTTTCTTAAACGTTTAAGTTGAATTTTTTTTTAAATGTTACTACTTGATTCAGAATCTTCATAAAACATTCAAAAGTAACATTCCCAAAATGTTAGCAAAATGGAACGTTTCCTCAAAGTTCATGTAACAAAGAAAATGCTTTTAAAACATTTAAAAACTAAACATTTTGAACATCCAGGAATACATGGAATGTTAGCAAAATGTTCTTAGAACATATTTGTGTTAGCTCAGCTGATATTCAAAGGGATAGTCCCGGCCTGCGGCAGGATGGAAGGCCAGGGTGGAGCAGACCCTTCAGGCTACCAGGGCAGCCAGGACCCTTCGGGCGTCCAGGGCGGAGCAGGATGCACAAGCGGTGGCCAGGGCGGTGAAGACCCCTCGGGCAGCCACAGTGGAGAAGACCCCTGGGCAAAAGTGACGCGAACAGTCTCTGGATCGGCAGACGTGATGAGAACAGTCTCTGGATCGGCAGACGTGGCGCGAACAGTCTCTGGCTGGGCAGACATGATGAGAACAGTCTCTGGCTGGGCAGACGTGATGAAAACAGTCTCTGGCTGGGCAGACGTGACGTGAAGCAGCTCTGGCTCGGCAGGGCTGACGTGAAGAGGGGCAGGCATGGCGTGAAGCTCAGGCGTGACGTGAAGATCAGGCTGGGCAGATGTGACGTGAAGAAACTCAGACTTGGCAGGGATGATGGCAGCCATCCTGGGAATGAGAATCAGGCATAGTCGCTTACTTGGACGGAGATTACTATTTAATGCTGCTGGATTCATAACTGCTCGTCGTTCTGTAACGTTGAGGCAGGAGTGAAGCAGAGAGAATCCAAGTGCAAGCATTAATTTAATAAAAAAACAGGTAATCCAGGGCAAACCAACAGAACATGAACTCAGGACACTGAACTCAGGACACGGAACTCAAAGCAGGCGCAAGAAACAGCTACATAAAACAAATGACCGACAACCAACAACTGAAGCACAGAGGTTTAAATACACAGAAAAACATACTAAACAAGATAACAAGGGGGCGGGGCTAATTAGAAACACCTGGGGAGACGCATCATCAAGAAAAACTACAAAGGACTACAAAACATGGCATAGAACAGGAAATAACTAAAGACCACAGAAGACAAGTAAAATACTGAACAGGAATCATGACACTTATATAATTTTTTTATTTGTTTTTGTGTTCAACAGAAGAAAAAAATCATATTAGTTTTTTATCATATAACCATTTTATTTTTGGGGTGAACTACCTCTTTATGCTTCTATTTTAATGGTAGACAAACTGGATAACAAGACACTGCTCAAATGTGTTAGGAAACTATTACTATCTACTGTATAAGATGAATGTTCGATTGAAGCAGCAACCAACATATTAATTTTTAAATAGTGAACTGGAATGATATTGTTCTTATGGTGAAGATAAGCTATTATTGACATCAGAGCCATTCATAAGTAAAATCCTGGGAGAATGGCATGCAAGGCATCAGATTACCTCACTGGACATGTAACTCTATATAGCCATTCTCTCCGAGATGACTTTCATAATGTGAAATGCTGAATCACAATAACAACTGTTTTTCTGTTATAAGTAAATGACTTGTTTACATAAAAGAGACCTGAGCTTAAAGGTAGTTAAACATTATGTTCACTTCAGGTCTGAATGTTACATTAGACATCTGCAAGGCAATATATAATGTAAGGTGTGTAACTGTAACTTAACAAAATTTAAATCAAGCCATGAAAAAGATTATTAAGAGATATACAGGTCCATCATAACAACATCTAATGTTAAACGTGTGTAGAGATATTCTAGAAGTCCTGGTTATTATCTAAAGTTAGTCTGATTTTATGTTGAATTACAATATGAGCTATCACTAGACTGTTGAACGTTGTCTTTTTTTGTCACCAAATCATAAAACTGCAATATCATACTGTATAATGATTATCACATTCAAGCTATTTCATGAAGCTCGAGATGTTAATGTTTATCATGAAATGACACTGTGGTGGAAATGTAAAGTGCATTCAGACAAATAAAATACATTTGTGTATATATTTTTTAAACATGCACTGTCCTCTGGCTGTTGCTATGCTGTTAATTAAACTGTTTTGGATCGATAGATGTTTGCCGTCACATTCACTAGTGTTCTTATACATATTTTAAGAGCTAATTACTAAATAATTCAAGCTGTATTGAATGTACTGCTGTACTGTGTTTTATGAAACAGTGCCATTTGAGCTCTATAGGCAAAAACATGTTTGAAAATTGAAAGGCATGATAGTCAATTATCACATGCCCAGTCAGCAGCAACACACAGGAATAGATTTTTATAAAGGTAAAGAGCAAACTTCTTTGAAAGAATGATACCAATCAAGTAAACAAGATTTAACCTATGAACTAATGAAAATCTGGTTCGAAAGGCCTTTAATACAGGTGTAGTATAATTTCTGCAAAAATCGTAAACTATGTATGTCACTAGACATTAAGAAATCATTTTCATTTCACAAACTTATGTCACTAAACAGTAGTCCGGCCAGGATATTGTCATTTAAAAATCGAAGTTGCAGCCCTCAACTGATGTTGATGTTGTCATGTTGTGTTTTGGTCTGATGCTCCACCCTCCACCGATCTACCAATCAAGGAGTCAGTAGTGTTGTGGCATTCGGGTTGTCAGCTCTTCTCTAGCACAGCTGCAGATACAAACGTGTCAGAATCGGATAAAAAATGTCTAATGTTGCGAATCCAAAAAAACCTCGATATGAATCCGAAACACTTTGTGACAAAGTCCGAAATAAATAATTAACAGGAAAAAAACTCACTGTGTAGGAATCGTCACTTGCCATTGGATGCTTCTTCTAGAAGTCTACGGTTCTGCAGGATCCAACAGCATATCTGGCAAACTCGAGTCAATACACCACTCTACAGTAATTTGGAAGTCATTGCAGTACAAGTTTTGGCCACAGTCTTGCATACAGCTACTACTTTAAGTAATTTATCTCTAGAAATGACAGTGGAAAACGTTAGTCAAACGTGACAATTACACTGTGCCTTGTTTCACTCATCCTTTCCCCTGTATTGAAACCCAGTGTTTTAGTTCAGTCTTTGTGAGTTCTTGATGTTGTTATGTTTGCTATTCTTGTCTTCGTCTTAGTGTTCCTGTTCTGAGTTCCCTTGGATTTACCTGTTTGTTTTGTTAATAAATGTGCTTGCGATTGGATTCTGCTTCCTCCTTCCTCCTTCGGAAGAAGAAACGCCACTCCCAAAGGCCACCGGAGCCCCCGCTGAAGAATGCAGGCCGCCGCAGCTGCCTCTCGCTTCCCGCTCTCCTTCTCCGCCCCCGCCAGACATAGATTTGCCGCCGAGTGGCCGCTCTGTCGCCTCCGACGACGCCGCGGATGAGAAGGATTCATGTTCACTTCTCGCTTCTGATAGCGTGGAATGGTCTGAAACTATCGCCTCTTCCTCTGCCAGAGAGTCTGCTGGGACCCGTGCCGGAATCAAGGAAGAGCTAACACGTCTCCTCTCACAGGCCGTCGAACGCCTCGGTCTCGAGTGGTCTCCGCCCCCCGAACAGGCCCCGATCCTGCCTGAACTTCATGCCGAGCTCACGAAGTCCCGCTCTCGGCCAGAATATTCGGCTATTCCGCCTGTCGAGGACCTGGTCGCTGCGCACCTCTGCCCGCCCTCTGATGGCGCCCTCTCCTCGCCTAGATGGCGATCTTCTCCAGCACTTCCTTCGAAAGCCTGCAGAGCAACCTCTGGCTTCCATGCCCGCGCCTATGCCGCCGCCGGTCAGGCCGCCTCGGCACTGCACTCTATGTCCATCCTCCAGATTCTCCAGAGTGACATTCTCCGTGAGTGGGCTGAGAGCGGTAAAAACCCCCCTGCCGTCTCGGATTTAAGGGGCGCTACGGATCTCGCCCTTCGCGCCACAAAGGCCGCTGCTCAGGCTCTGGGGAGATGCATGGCCGCCCTTTGCATGTCTGAGAGACATTTGTGGCTTACACTCACCAACATGGGAGACTCTGAAGCGCCGCTTTTCATAACGCGCCTTTCTCTCCGACCGGCCTTTTCGGATCCGCCGTCAAGGGCATCGTTGACCGGTTCTCCAAGGTTCAAAAAGCCACCCAGGCCATGAATTTGTTTCTGCCCCGCCACCCTAGCTCTGCTGCAGGCCACTCCCGTGACCAGCCCCCTGCTGGAGCCCCACCCCAGTGCCTCTCTCAGCAGGCTCAGCGCAGACAGGGCGGCCACCCTCGCTCTTGCTCTGACGGCCGGACCGCCGTCGAAGCTTCGCCCTCTGTTAGTCCCCGTTCTTTCACCGACTACTCAGCCTTCTCAGCGCAGACAGGGCGGCCCCTCTGCCCGCTCTGTTACACGGCCCATAAACTCCTCTGAGGGGTGACTTCACCCATCTGCCCGCTCTGTTACACGGCCCATAAACTCCTCTCTGAGTGTAAGTTCCGTTGCCATAAACACTCTAAGCGTGCCCACACATTGTGTCCAGCCCGCTGTGTGCAACATTCAGGGCGATATAGCCATTCACCCGCTAGCGTCGCACTTCAGAGCGTGGGAAGCTATCCCGGGAATATCCCCATGGGTGCTAAGCACAATAAAATACGGCTATCTGTTACAGTTCCGTCGCCGCCCTCCACGCTTTCGGGCGTGGCTCGAAACTACAGTGAGTTCAGAAGCAGTAATCACGCTTCGCTCAGAGATAGAAAAGCTTTTGTGCAAAAAGTCTATAGAGAGAGTTCCGCCTTCTATGAGCGAGTCTGGGTTTTACGGCCGTTATTTTCTTGTCCCCAAGAAAGACGGCGGCCTCAGACCGATCCTAGATCTCAAATTGTTGAACAAAGCGTTCATGACGAGACCGTTCAAAATGCTTACAGAAAACTCCTCGCGCATGTACGCCAGTGGGACTGGTTCATCTCTCTAAATCTGAAAGACGCCTATTTTCAGATCCAGATAAATCCCCATCAACAGGCCCTTTCTACGTTTCGCCTTCGACGGACAGGTTTATCAATACACCGTCCTCCCATTCGGCCTATCCTTAGCACCCCGTACGTTCACGAAGTGCATGGATACGGCGCTCGCTCCCCTGCGGAGTCAGGGGCTCCGAATTTTGAATTATTTGGACGACTGGCTGATTTTGGCACAATCACAGACGGAGCTGTTCTGCTCTCATCGTAAAGTTCTCCTCGACATCTGAACACGTTGGGCCTCTCTGTCAGCT